GCTGAGCTTCTGCTTCAATGTGTAAGTTTTCTGAGATTTTTTGATGAGGCAGTTCAGTTTCAAGCTTCCTAGGAAATCTGTTAATTGTAATTTTTATATGTCGGTCATGTTTATGAGAGTATTTCATTTAATTACTACAATGGTACATTCAATTGAATAATAATAAATTGATAACATTAATCAATGTAGTAATTGAAATACAATAATAAGCAATTAATAATATAATAAAATCGTAATCAATTTTATAACTAAGCATGTACAATAGCACATAAAATTAAGATAATGATTATAATAATATAAATTGAAGATTGAAATGGATGCTTGTATACATCGTGGTATATACAATGTGTGCGTGAAGTATACAAGAAATACAATTTATATTAATATACATGAAATATAATTTGTACTAATATTGTCTGCATGTAAACATATTTATGCTTGGTTCATACGTGAAACTTTTAGCCGAGAAAGATAAACACTTAATCTCTTTTTATAATTATTTGAAAATATGTTTCTAAGTAAAATGTTTTAAAGTCTTACGAGGAAACTTGTACAGTCGTATCAGTCTCGTATTAAATATTCGTTTCAACATTCAAGAGGAAATGAATTTAAGATTTTTCATTTACGTGCTTTATATTTTATTTCTCTTTTTTATTTCTAATTGTTCTAGTGTTAAGCAAATGAAACGTTAATTACTATCAATATCAGTGTCAGTATCAGTGTATCCATCATAGTTAAATCCTACTTTATACTGTGGTATACGTACTTTCAAGTACACACTTTTAAAATGTGTGTTGCAAATCGATGAAAAGTAAAAAGCTTTTAAAAACAATCACATCATAACTTATAAATTTCTAAGAACATATGTATATTTATAATATAATTCAATCTTTGTTACGCATGAAATACTGGAAACACTATATAAAACTCGTAAAAATGACTTGTATGAAATATATTTGCATTTAAATTTTTACAAATTTCAAACGACACGTGATAAATGTGGAACAAACATAAATATTAATAATATCATAATGTAAATATGTGTTGTTTCTGGCATAAGTATTAATATTAAAAGATCAGTTGAAAATAAAAAAAGAATCATTGAAAGCTTATCTAAGTTTTAACAAGGAACAGAATGTTCTATTCTTCGATTTAAAACTTAAAATTATTGTAACCAACTAAGAATGTCGTCCTATCAGAACGTTACCGCAATTTTTATAAGAAGTTGCAGTCTGTTGAAGAATATTTATAGATTGAATAAAAAAACAGATTTTAAAGTTACAGAAAAAAATGACTGATTTCGCGCAGAAATACAATTTATTCCTCTAGTTTTTATATTTTTACTTTTGATTTTTGATACTTTTATACTATCGATCTGGATGAAATATAAATTAAATTTAACAGTAATTAAAATTATATAACGATTTATAACAATTCATAAAATTATAGTATCTAGCAACGATGATGAAAAAATGTCGAGCGAATCTTTGAAATATCTTTTCACAGATAAAGCATCGAAAAATAATATATGGAATAATACTGCAGTACAGTAACATTGTACAATGTAGTAATATCAATTCAAAAGATTTTCAAATGAAATACTGCACTACAAACAAGTATTTAAGAGTCACTATAGTCACTCGTATATTGTAAAGAGTTAAAAATTGCCTGGCAACTGCTGTCCGATTTACAAAATTGAATAAGACTTTCCACGTCTTCCGTCCTCCATAATGGCACGATCTAATTGACGTGGAAGCTCCCCCTCGAGGAAGGTACGTACATAACTATCGCTGGCGGAGTGTGCGTTTGAATGTGTTTGGTAATTGATAAATCGTATCGTAAACGAACAGCCATACGTCTTTTCTTCTCATCGACGAAGCGGCGCCAACCAGCAGACGAGAAGTGAACCAGGAGAGAAGGTTGTTTCGTTTCAGAAATACCATGCAGCTTCTGTAGTGGCGGCCCAGGCAGAGAGGAAACGCCACCCCGCGGATTGCCAGATTTTAAGAATTAAAGGAAGTTCTCGCTGGCTGGCAACGGGATCGTGTCGCGCTCACTGCGTGTCTCGACGACGCTCGCCCCAAGAACAGGCGAGTTATAGCTCGCTAAAGAAAATTGACTTGAACCCCAGCCAGGATAATAAAAGCGCGTTGCTGCAAGGAAACGCGGGCGAGAAGAACGAAGGAAGCAATAGGGCTCCATAGTATCGCTCTCGCAACGATACCGTGAACAAGAATCGAGAGACCGAGGAGAAGGAAACAGACTGGTGTCACGAAATTAAAAGCGTAATTAGAAACGTTGACAAACGATATTAATTAACACATTCGAGATTATGGGAAACTATTTCCAATAATGTCCACTTGTGTGGTGAAATTAATGGAAATTCAAGTGGTATCGAGGTAAGACGAGTAACAAGCAAATTTAGTTTAGAAGTTTCAGGCAAATTTACGGGATTTTAAAAAGTAAGATTTCATAAGAAAATGATTCTTTAACTTTAAATAGATATTTGATAGATTGTATATAATAATTTCAATTTATGATTGTCAATGCTTCTCAGGCTTTTGTGCTTTTTAACTAAGAATAACTCATATCGGTCATTTTAATCGGGCGTGTAATAAATAATAATTTGTAAATATAATAAACGTATAAATTATAAATATATATTATGCATTGTTTACAGATAAAACAGATTTCTGAAACAGATGATTCTCACTCTGAGAAGAAGAAACAAATTAAGAATAAAGTAAGAATAAACAAATTGCCACGAAAATAATTTATTTATTTATAAACACGAGATATTTCTACTGACATATATGTCCGTACAGAATTAAACTTTTTAATCAAGGTAAAAAATTACAAGAGAATATTTATTAATATTATTGGTGTAATACTATTGGTGACTTTCTTATGATTTCAGCGAAATTATAAAATGTACTTACGTTGCGTATTTTATACTCGTATACTACATATTTCACAGGTAAATACTAATCAATATGAATAACTAGGCGATTTTTCAAAAATTCATTATTAAATTGTATCGATTTTCGACTGCTTTTAATTATTTGATAAAAAAAGGACTTGATAGTACTTTGATAATTTCACGAATATCTATATATGTATAACAAAATAAACTTACAAATACAAAGGCAACTTATAATTAATATAAAGTAATTTATAATTAATATGAGGCATGTCTTGTCAATGTACGATAATAATTTCACGAGTGAATAATAAAATAATATATACAAATATCAACACGTTGGCTGCCACGTATGAACTCGCGTCTCCCAATATGCTAAATAAATCAATAGCTGAATAAATAAATAACAGAATAACTTTCCAAAGTAAATATATAATAAATCATTCAATAAAGAAAATCCCGAAGTCATTTTGCATTAATGAAAAATGAATACATTTTTGCTAATAATATTTTACTGATAAAAAGATATTTGTGTGTCACATGGTAGCCTACGTATCAAACCGTCGTGAAGAAACCGAAAATAACATTTTATTTAATTAACAACGCAAACGATAGAACGAAGTATCATACAGAACAGAAAATAAGAGAAATTAGTCATCGTAATAATATATAAATCGTGTAACGACAATTATGATCGCAATAATTCTACAAAGCATCCCAGTGCCTGATGCTGCGTAAGACTATAATTTGCACGATTAACACGTGTTGTTGGTAACGAATATATATGCATAACAGGATAATAAGCCGGTTTTCAATAAATAAACGCACGCAGACAAAGTCAGCTAATGTAACAGTATACGCGGCGAGTAGATCACACGAGCAGTGAATTGTTATTTTATTTATAGTTGGTCAGTTCCGATTTTACATTTAACTGAATAGCACGAATTGAATCACTGATATGTAAACCAGCGAACTGGAATTCTGGTAACTCGATGATAAACGGCTCTGTCCTGACTATTGAGACACGCACATTATTTTTTAACTGTCACGATCAGCAATGATGGATTGGAGGATTGTTGCGTGCGATATTCCTCCGCGCTCCGAAATGAAAATCCATCGAATCGTTTCGCTTCAACGTGAGGAGCGGGCGGTTTTTTTTTTTTTTTTTTCTCTCTCCTCCGCGTATCGCCGTAATTAAAACTGTCACTAATGGTAAATAACTTTGATGAATGTAAAATCGAAACAGTTCATAAACCGTAATTAACTTCTGATATAGCGTAATGGTCGGATCAATGTAGAGAACGAGAAAGCCAATAAATGGATTTCTTCTTCGTGTACAGAAAACAAGATTTTTTGTGAGAAGATATTAAATATAATTGAACGTTACTTCTCTAAATTAATAGCGTTCACAATTAACTTCTGATATAACGGAGTGATCAGATCAACAGAGGCGGACAGAAGAAAGAATAAACAATTTCTTTTTTCATTCATAGCAAATAGTTTTTACGAGAATGACGTTACTTCTTTCAAATGATTAATAAGTGATAGTAATTTAATAGTGCTGGACGGAGGTCAATATCTTAGCTTCAAACATTCACGTACGTTTACAAATTTTTATACGTGCTATATCGTACAACCGTAAGGTGAAATATTTAATGTAAATTTAATTCAGGTTTCATTCAATCTGTTAATATAAACTGATGAAATTATATCGTCTCGTAATTTGAAAATATTACCCACACCGGATGCCGTTTCATAATGTCAACTGCAGCAGAAAATTGAAACGGTTAACTCGGCGTAAAAGTATCGAAAGCATTAACCAGAGTGTGACCTTGAGAATAAGTATCTCGTACGTACACCGCTCTGTTGTTGCTGAAATAATATGTGACCTAGAAATCTGACGGGCGACGTTTCGTTGATACGGTACCCTCAAGATAAGCCAAAAGGCACAACAGTTTCAACGTCTTTTATCCACGTCATTGGGACGAATCGAATCGATGCGTCCAATGTAAAAGCGCATGGAAAAGTGTGATGTAACATTGTTGTTTTTGTTTTTTTTTTTTTTCTGTTTTTGTTTTACCTTATTCGGTGTGGTTGCTTGTTGCTGCGGCGAACAGCTGGTGCTGTGTATGGTTGGCTGGTTGGTCGTCGCCGGTACAATGCCTTGGTGATTCAGGTGGCTCAGCTGATTGAGCTGCGTGAGTTGTTGCGGCTGCTGCACCGGATTCTGGGTAGTGGCCTGCAGCTGTTGATGATGCGTCTGATGCGCAGGATGGGTCGTCTGATGATGCGTCGCGGGGAAGGTGGGCACCGTGAACGGGACGAACAGCATCGGGCTGCCGAGGATGTGCGCACCACCTCCACCCAATGCCCCCGTCTCCTCCCTACACCTTTTTCGTGCGTTTTTGGTTTTGGATAACTCTTTTACTCCATCAACCGTGTTTGTTACTTCGACGTGCTACTACGTTATTACTATTTAGTAATTTTGTACTGTTTTTTTTTTTTTTTGCTATCTTTCTTAAGCTTTCTCTATTATTATTATTTTTTTTTTTTTTTTTTATTATCAAACCCTGCCGACCACG